ATACGTATGCCCGCCAAAATACAAGAACATTTAAAAGTTTAAAAACTCAGAACCTTTCCCGAAATTGCGTTAATTTTGGGAGAATCAAAAATTTGCTGCCAGTAAAAACTCTCATAATTTAGGCGGTTTAGGTAATGCATGAGTATTGCTGCACACTTACACAAATGAGGAATTTTATAACCTTAAACAGAAAAAACGTTACAGAAATTCATTTGTGTTAATGTGCAGCAAGTTTCTTGAATCACTTAGAATAGTTATCTTTACTCTTGCTACACCATCAATGCATTATATGCATACGGATCCGCCGATATCAAAGCATAGAATGAGTAGTTAGTCCCGCAGAAACCAAATCAAAAGCGGTATTTACATATTACACCTGTCTTGAATTTTTTCATGGGAATACATCGATACCCGCGTATTCTTTATTGCCAATTTTGAAACTAGGTGGATATAATATATTACAACGCAATAAGGCTAGAAAACTGATATTCTGCGACATTGGTAGAAATTACACAAATATTCCTTTACATTTCCAGTGAACATGTTCTATATATCTTGTAAATTCCCTAATTTCTCTTGGGAACATATCGATATCCACGGTTCCTTATTGCTGCTTTCGGAAATTGTTGGTGGTTTCAGTCGTTGGGCGTTCTTTTTAGCATAGAAGGTTTCTAGAGAGTACTGGTAGACATTTTTGATTTCAATTGTTTTTTACTAAGGCTGATGTACTTGTTAGTTTCTGTGTCTCCTTTGTAATTTTGTTCAGAAATTAGTCTTCTTTACTACTGAGTGAGAGATGCAATTCACCACCGCAGGCAAGTCTCATTAATCGTAGTTTACTACAATAACTAGATATATATATAGTTTCAGTATCTCTTGGCATCGCAATGGCCACCCTAAACTTTGATGAAGTGACGAGTCTTCTTTATACCTCGACTTACGCCTATAGTGAGCCTACTTTACCTCTGAGTGACATCGCAATAGTTCTATAAGGTTCTATATGGTTGCCTGTGGCGTTTATCAGAGACCTTTTGAGTGAGTGCGTATAATGTACAACTACTATTGTATATACGAAGTGTTGAAAAAGTTACGCAAAAATTAGGCTAAAACTTTTCGTCATGGCGACGTTAAAATTTAACTGCTAAAAAAGTCGTGAAAGGTTTAAATGGCATTTCACCGTAATTCAATACTGCTAATAGGTGTCAGTCGTTAAATTTTTTAGGTAGCATTTCATCTCAACTTCTGTTGATTTTGCGTTACTTTTCAACGACCCGTAGTTTATAGTGACTCTTTTCCCCTTCATTGAACGGTAACTTCTTTTAGTAATCAGTCTCCTTTACTTTTGAGTGAGTGTAGCGCCATATTTTTGTATAGTTTCAACAGCTCCTGGTATTTCAGCTGTTTACTTTAAATTTAAAGTAAAGAGTTTCCTGTATTTCTTAGTTACCTCGAATCACTTTGATTAATTCAACCTGTATTTACGTTACTCACACATATTATCTCCTGATTTCGTAATTTCTCATGGGAATTAACACATCGATACTCAGGTTTCGAAATATTTTTGGTGTTGCGCGTTGCACTAACGTAAGAGCGATTATGGAGAGTACTGGCAGATTTCAATGTCTATCTATGTTAATTAATATACTAATGTATTATGCTACAGTTTTATGAACATAGTATGTGATAGCTATATCGAAGCTGAATTTAATAGTGTTAAGACTAGCTGAGGCAACTAGCGAAATTGAAATTTGAATGATGTGCTTGGCATTCTGAATTGTTATCTGGCTTTCTAACTTTTTGGTCGGGAATATATGCTAACAATATAGGAATCAGAGAAAACTAAATATTGAATTCGGATTCTATTAGCCTAGAATGGCTATGCCTGATAACTATGTTTGCACAATAAAAGTGTTTGTTTTGTATTGCACTGTTTACCCATTCTTGGCACTATTGTGGCCCGCGAATGCAAAAATAGTTTTGTGGCCTGCGGAGCCGACAACCTTGGACCACCCTGGCCTATCCTATACTAAATCGCGAAGGATAGTTTTTGTAGCGGAACGTACATGCACAATTTCCGTATCTCTTGGACTTCTGAAATTTCGTTTCGCGAGCGCTTAAATTTAAAAAGATGAGAAACCAGAGCCAATGGATCCGAAAATGCTCGATTTATTTTCCGCAGTACGTTACGACGAAAAAAAAATCTTTTCTATTCATAGCTCAATATCTTTTAAACTATAATAAGATAGTTTTTGTATTAGAGCACGTTCAAGCGTGCAAATCAAAATCAAGGGTGTGCGACATTTTTTGTCAGCAGGCTATATAACCAACAGCTACAAACAAAATTAGTACATTCATGTACACAACGGATTGAAAAAGTAACATATTGCAAAATTTTATTTGTTTAATATTTTAGTGGAACAATTGCTATTTTGAGTTATTGCATTGTTTGGTAACGTCAGCTTTGACATAACTTGTAGCAACCCTTAACTGGTGAAATAAGTTAGCAACAGCACTAGCGGAAAGGTTATTTGAAGAAGAGAGAATGCGGCTTAGCCTAACCGGGCAACCAATGGGAGCGCTTTTTCAAACATAAACTGTCGGGTTGCGATTTCATGCTTGTAGGAAAATCTGAGTGTCAACAAGGGCCCCCACTTAATGTCTTGGCAGGTCGTGTTATGGCCCGCGGGCCACATGTTGCCCTGGTGTAAAGGGTCTTACTTGGTTAGCTGTGAGTTTTCGCCAGTTACTGTCAGTGACAATCGAAAAAATCCGATTTTTATTTTTCAAAAATACCGGTTACGTGGGAATTTGCAACCTTATTCCTATTTATTCGATCATAATGATTTGAGTTTCTTTAAATATCGCTCCATATTCTATTAAATTGAGAGGTCAGACAGCCCAATTCTTGTCTCAGAAAGTCAGACGAAACGGTATAGAATTATATTTGTGTTAGAAGTGGTTCTCAACCCTTTCATTTCGTGGCACACTTTCTAACTTTCTCATGCAAGGAAAAAACTACAAAAAAAAACAAGACTGTTTGCGAAAATAAATACTTTCACTTTAATAATTTGAATGAAAAGTAGCAGCATCATTCATTGCTACTACAATACTACTATAATGACACAAATGAAACTAAACTTTCCAATAACCATAGTAATTTTTAATAGACTTGTGGCCCACTTGAATATGTCTATATGGATCAGCACTGGGCTATGGCCCACTGGTTGAGAACCAGTGAGTTAGTGTATAGCAAGACTCTACAATCACTCGAGATATGTTCATCTTGCGCATTTGTGGAAAACGATTTATATTCTTGAGTTGTGGAAGCAACGTAACTCGATCAACTTTCGGATCGAATATAGTTGAACAACGTACACCTGAGGAAGTCTGACTTTGGCCAGACAAAACGTCAATCAATCAATCAAATCGTTTTTTATTAGCCGTCCAGTCAAACGGGCACAAAAAAATTGAAGCAAATTTGAAAATATATACATGCCTTTGCCCAGAAATAGTTACAGCCGTTACAGAAATATATTTGTGTTAGTGTGCAGCAAGACTTACTTAGGATAGTTATTTTTATTTTTGCTACAGCATCCTTGCAGTATAAGCATACGGATCCACTTGCGTAAAGGCATAGTGGGAAGGTATTCAGTCTCGCGTAACTACAATGATATTGCAGGTGTTCAATTGGCATTTAATGACGCGTAAAAGCATCATTATATGTTGCTGCAGTATCGTTTGGCATTTTAGTGGCCTGTATTTTTTAAAGGTTTTCGTTGTGCTTTATAGGGAAGCCAATCTTCAATGAACTTTAATCTTCGAAAAGTTGGTTCGCTACCACCTGTAACTGATTCGAAGTAAAAAGTCGGTATGATACGGGGTTCCGATTGATGGACTTGCTTTCACGAGTTCAAGTGTAAAGTCTTTAAAACCCGCGATAATCCATTCTTTCGAGTCACCAATCGATAGCCGTGACGTTGATAGGTTTCAAAGTAGAATTTTGGATGAAACTCAGATGTCGCTCAAATTTATCTGACTGGTGGATATTCCGATTTATTAAGACAGGTGTAGCAGGGTCGCAGCCATGGTTTCCTCTAAGGTGCGCCATTGCGAAGTCCCACCAGACCATTTGCGCAGTAAAATCTCATTCTTGCGCGCCTGTAACATTACGTTTTCAAAGCGTGGCTTGCCATACTTTCTAACACCTCGCAGGAATGCCCATTTCATTCAAGTAGAAGCTTTTTGAGTTAAATATGTACGTACTTTGTTTGCATTCTAATAACATATTGTTGTTCTTGTAATATTTCTCAAAGTTTGTAAATCATATAGGACTCTGCTCAGCCTCAAAATAAAATATTCATGTTCACTAAAATAAACAATTGCGAAGTGTGATATTTTCTTAGTGGGAACACTGGTCGCAGCCTTGAATTTCCCCAATGTCGAAGAGGATGGTTTCTGAAATTTGTAATTGCATTGTTAGACCGTGACAGCTAGCGATTCCAGGTTGGGTTTTCATGAGTCGTGAGGACCGTTCAGCGAAAATGCTATGTATGATATCACAAAAGAGGAGTTAGGTTTCAGGCCCTCAGATTTACATGTTATCGGATGTGGATTTAAAGAGTCGTCGTACAAACAATCAATTTGCTCAGGAAAATAATATTCTTGTTTCGCTTTTGTAGCGTGAAATTGGCTTTGCGGACAGAAATGATACTTTTGTCTGTTGCACTTCGGTCCCTAGGTAACTCATAATCTATATGGTTGGACTTGTGTGAATAACATTTTTTTTTGCAAAGAGATACTGTTAAAACGAAGAAGAAAATTAACTAGTTTATAAATAGGTAATAACTCCCAGGCGTTTCAAACTCTCCCTGTTCTATCGTATATGTATTGTGACTTGATCGTTTCAGACCCTCTCCCACTCATTCTGCATTTCCCAAGTGATTGCAGATGCAAAATCACCTCCCGTTAAAACCAACATTAAAAATTATTTTCACCTTGCCAGATCATTATTATTTAGTCAATAGAAAATAAAATCATCGAACAAGATGTGGCGATTAATGCTTCCAGCTATTCTGGCAACGCTTTTACCGGGTGAGTGGAACAGTTTTTTTTATATATATTTCTGAGAGATGAAATCCGATAAAACGAATCAACCAATCACACAGGAAAGCATGAACTATATTCCCTCTACCAGTCCAAGTCGGCTAGGGGAATCGTGCAAACCGTGAGCGTGATGCCGTTAGGGCCATACGTTTTAGAATCCCTATTCCCTTAGGAGTTTGGTACCAAATGGACCAAAATAGTACAATCCGTCGTTATTTTTTTTTTGGAATAGTCCTCATACCTACAAACATTTATATATTGATAAACAATGATATTTGAAAACGAAAAATAAAATCAAAAATCGATTTCAAGCCGGACCAATATTGAGGTCCGTCTCGTCCGACCAATAATAATTATTTCTTTTAACACTGAGGCAATATAAAAATTACTATGGCATTTTGTGGTGCCCCCTCTGGGTCCGTAAACACGTGCTTAATGGGTAATCCAGTCGTAGCGTGATGGCCTAATGCAAGGATGGCGAACCATGGACACGGGGTCCCAACGTGGGTCACCACATTTCGATATTGACTCGCAAAATAACGAATCAACTCTAAATACACGCAGATATTTCAGTGATGAAAATAGATGATAAACCAGCCCTAATTTAATATAACGATGAATGAATTATACTATATACCTATAGTGATTGAGCAGTGGTTACCAAACCTTAGGTAATTACCCCCAATCGGGTAATTTCACAATTTCTATGGGATAATTCAGACGTTCAATGTCTTAACAATTTCTTTTGTAATTTCTGTTCCACCAAGATGGCGCACAACCTGAACATAGTATGTGTACCAGATTAGGGTTCAGGTTGTGCGCCATCTTGATGTATATACTTCGGGAGCGCCTTTTTTTAAGTAAATGTATGATAAATTCCCATAAAAACGGGTTTCGTTTTGAATGCATGAATTTCTATCCCAACGAAAAATGTTTACCGTCTTTTACGAACCATGCGCTTTAAATATTTTTTCTCATAAAACGACCGCTCGACTTATAAGCAGGTGATTAATGTGTGGACCAGGTAGTGCTTTATGCTTTATTTCCTGCGCTCAAAACTTGTACCGATTGCGCCTTAAAGTCAGATGTTAATCATTATTGCTTGAAAAATCACGCTGCCAAATAACAGGATGCTCTGTATTTGCTGTGTTTATTGCTTAATTGAACTTATGTCTGCCATTGAATAAACGGAAACAGTCTGGAAACAGGGGATTATATTTCACGCCTTGGCAAACGTTATAACGTTAATATAGATATTCGCATTTTTTATTTAAGCTAAAGACACTTGTGTTGATACAAACATATGGCAGTCCGAAAGAGGCCATTCAAATTGCAATTTGGACCAAACATCTGTCCCTATTCTTAACCTACTGCTTGTATAACGACCCAATGTTGAAAATTCATTTAAATGGCGATTGTGGTCATATCCAACCGTATTCTCAACCTGCTGTCTATGAGGCAACCCGAAAGCTCTCCACGTGCGAGTGGTACCACAAGCCGATCGTTATCCAAAGCCTATCCCTTGTATGGCAGCCCAGTAGCTTTTCGCCGAGTAGGCCATTCAAATAGCGATTGGGATCATATATCTATTTCTAACCAACTGTCCATACGCCAGCCCAAAAGATCTTCACTAACGAAGCAATTAGTACCATAGGTCGGTCCATCGTTATCCCAAGCCTACTTACTCCCTGTATGGCAGAGCTCTCTGGCCTTTGAGTCATTCGTATAGTGCAGGGGTTCCCAAGCTTTTTACAGTACGACCCCAAAGATAACTTTCAAGTGTCCAGTGCGACCCCAGGTCAATATATATATTTTTCATGAAACTTTAGAGCTTCTTTCACTGGACTTTGAGTTTGGTCATGTGGTGGTATTAAGTAAAATAAGCTAAAACCGAACAGTGATGTCACAATATGCACCTACATTTTCTATAGCATAAGCATAGAGCGTTGCCTATGGACCTGTTTTACAGTAAACCATGATACAAACTGCTAAATTTAACATGGTTTCTCAAATCTTAGATATTTTGCACATTCATCCTCTGACATACCTCAGCGACCCCACCGACCCCATGACCTGTTTGCAACCCTACCTAATTATCACTCCGACCCAATTTCGGGTCGTGACCCCTGGTTTGGGAGCCCCTGATATAGTGTTTGCCGTATACATATCCATTCAAACTTAGCTCTGGACGAAGAAGGGTATTCGATCGGGGCCGTATATATGGGGTGTCCATGACGTCTTGAAATTATTTTAGGTGATAGCCTTCTATAGATGATGAGGCAGTTGGGATCAAATCTCACTGAAAGACAATCATATCAAAATTGTTTTGATATTTTTCAGGCATTGGCGCGGTTTCCATCTCTGATTTACCTCGACAGGTCGTTGAAACTGTAGGAGGAAGCGTGGTGATTCCGGTAAGATGGCGTAATGGTTGTTATAAAGGCAGTAGTGTCCGTTCCTTCTTAAATCAGGCTGCAATCAAGCAAGTGCTCCTTTCACTTCAGAAAAAACTTTAAAACTAACAGCTACTGAAAAAAATAATTTTTATTTTTGTGAGAATAGGAAGAATTTTTGGTTCAACACAGCCTAACAATTTATTATAGTCTAAGCGAGTTTAAGGGCATAAATATTCAACTCGCATTGCCAATAAGTTTCCTGACACAATATACTTGTGGCTTTCATTTATTTCATTGTCTCATATAAACAGCCTTGTTCAGAGTGGTTGAATATCAACACGGTATAGAAATAAGTGCTAACGCGAATTCTTCATTCTTTAATACTCAGGGAACTCTCTTTAATGCGACGAACTCAACTCTAAGCTGGGTGAAAGGCGACACTTACCTCGTAAACGCGACAATCCGAGTATACAAGAAAAAGGCTTCAATTACGTCTATCAGCCATTTAAACAGCTCTCTTTACGGTGAGTACTGCCTTGGGGGGCATAGGGGCCGCCGCCCCAAACAACACGTTGTTTGGGATAGTTAATTGCTCAGTTTGATAAATAAATGGTACTCCTGTAGTATGTGAACCAAGATGGCGGATACCGGAACGTAGTATGTGTACCAGGTCAGGACATATTTGAAGGAACAAATACTACAGGAGTTACGTAGCTAGATCCTGATCCCGTAATGAAACTAAAAAAGGAAAATTGGAATCAAATTATGACCTAACCCTAATCTGGTACACACACTACGTTCCGGTGTCCGCTATTTTGGTTCACATATTCCATACAATAATATAAATATTCCACTCCTAACTGACCTTTAATTTATCGATTCTGATGATTTACTCATCTTCCGAATTTGGTTTAAAGTTAGGTATGAGGAGGCTTCGTCATCAGTTTGACGCGCCCCTGGTACCAGGTTCAGGAATACGAAGAACGGGAACTATGGCAGACCCGATCCCGCCCAGAAACCCGGGCTGAAATCGAGACAGGAGTCATATTAGTTTCTTGTCAAACTAGGTTTAATCTTCAACCCAGTCGTTTTGACGCTCTAGAAGCAATGTTCCCTCTAATTTTTTGTAGTAATTTTGGAGTGTGCGCACTTTTTTGGAAATAACTAATATTTGTGCAAAAACCAATGAAGAAATTTCTTTCTCAACCTGTCAACTGAGCACCTTGTTACATTACATCGAAATACGTCTGTGCGCAGTAAATCTATGCGTGTGCGCAGCCTCTGAAAGCTGTGTGCCCGCGCACACCTTGGAGGGAACACTGTCTAGAAGTATGTGTATCAATATGGTTATTAATTTTGTTCGCCTATTTTACATCAAGTTGTGTAAAGAGACTGAAAATACAGTCAGTCCCCGAACTCGTAATAGAACTAAAATAAGAAAAAAGGGGATAAGAATTATAGCTTAACCCTAACCTGGTACACATAGTAAGGAAGTACCGTCGTTTCAGTAGTTTTTTAGCGGTGCCGAACCCAAATGTGACAGGCACGAACGAGGAAACCCCTGTGCATGGTTTAGTTGCCGTTTATTATCTGAATTGTATAGCAGGGTGATCAGACCAAGTGTAGACAAACGTTTATTAAAATATCTACAATATAAATTAAAAATTCTCCGTCCTGCTAAAGAGTAATTCCTGTAATTGACGTGGTGTCTCGATTCAAACAGTGCTTGAATTGCTGCCGCTACAGATATCATGGTAAACTAAATTCTTACGAAAAGTCTGAAATACTCTTATTTTAAACACTGTTTTTGTTTTTAATTTGAAATTAATATTTGTTTACAAGTGGTCCGATCACCATGTATATTAGCAAAACCAATATTGAGAAAACAAAATGATCTGTGTGGAGTGTAGCAAGTTTAAAAATAGCGGCAAACTTAAAAGTTATTTGATTATATTTAAACAATATACATATGTTTGGAACTCTGGGATTTGACTTATAGATTATATCCATCTTGTGAATCACTAATTTCTCTTGGGAATACAGCGATACTGGCGGTTTCTTTATTCCTGGATTCGAAATTTTTTGGCGGTTTCAGTTCTGCGCGTTTCTTGAATTATAGACAGTGCAGGCGGACTTGTGATTTTCTTGTGATGATTTTTCGGAGCTCCCGAAGTATGAGCACCAAAATGACGCACAACCTTGTATGTGTACCAGGTCAGGTGTCAGGTTGTGCACGATCTCCGATTTTTCTTCATTTCTGAGTGATTGATTTGCCCATTAGTTACAAAAGAACTACTTTTTCCACAAAACAATCCCAACATCTAAACGATTCTTAATCCACCTCGTTTCCGAATAATAATGTATCTTTCTTATTTTACACAGAGGCATCATTCGTTGCAGTCGGAGGTCACGTGAACACAAATTTGACCTTGAAGCAGTTTTCAATGTCCTTGAACCAGACCCAATATAAACTCAAAGCTGGGATTGTTGAAAGCGGCGTGACTACCATGTTGATCGTTAAGGGTAAGTGAGGTTTTTGTGATTATTTCAGAAAAGGGCCCCCCGACCAGGGCGTGTCTAGACCAGGGATGTCCAACCCGCGGGCCGCATGCGGCCCACTGGAAGAATTCGTGCGGCCCACTTGAAGTTTTTATAAATATTGCGACGAAGTCGCAAAGTTGTTAAATAAATTTAAAGAAAGATTCGCTCACTTACAAAAATTCGACAATCTCTTTAAAAAATTTTTATGTGTTCATTTTACATTCGAAGAAGATTACACAGAATTAATACATGCAACTTGATCCAATCAAAAACGGAACTGAAATGCTGACGAATGACAATTTGGGGAGCCAGTTATGTTGTGCGGTGTCAAAACTATCTGTTGATATTAAACAATAGCGCAATGACATACAAAAGCAAGTTTCGCACTAATTGAAAAAATATTGCTGACATTTTTTATTTTGATTTTTTTATGCCAATGTATATTATTGTTTAAAAATTTTGTATTTTCCGTAAAAGTTGAGTTGAACTTTATGGTTCATGATCCTTGTGTGCATGTTGTGTTCAGAAATCTGCAAAAGTGTTTTGCAATCCAGGCGTTCGATTTAGCGACGCTCAAATTCCAATGTAAATCAGAACTGGGATGGTATTTTGAGTTTGGTAAAAACGTTTGCGGCACGCAATGAATTTCCTCACATGAAAGCGACCCGCGACACTAAAAAGGTTGGACATTCCTGGTCTAGACAGAGGCCATGCGGTCAACCGGGCAGCACGTTATAAGGGCAAGGTTGTTGCTCTTTGATGATTAAAATATTAATATGAATACAAACATCAGAAATTCGCCCCGAGCAGCAGAAACACTTGACACGCTCATGTCCACGATGGTGCATTACAGCCTTTTTCCAAGCGAGTCATAATTAAAAAATGAAACAAAATATATCTGGTAAAGTATCGCGACCCATGGATAAGATCAAACACCAAACGGGACGAAAATCACTCTATAAAAGATATCCCCAAAGTATGTGAACCAAGATGACGGACACCGGAATGTAGTATGTGTACCAGGTTAGGGTTGGGTCATAATTTTATTTCAATTTTCCTTATTTTAATTCTATTACGAATTCGGGGACTAGCCAAGTGACTCCCGTAGTATTTGTATCTAAAATTATGGCCTAACTCTAACCTAGTACACATACTACGTTCCGATGTCCCTCGTCTTGGTTCACATACTTCGGGAGTATCTAATAAGATAGAAAATAAACAAAAAATTGGGTCGGCAATGCTAAACCCCGATCAGTCGCTGTCTAAAAGTCCCGACATTTCGTTAAATTCCTCCGTTCGACTATTTTTCGCTTCCACTTTCATAAAAAACTACTTTATTTGTTCAAACTTTAATGTATCGTTTGCTAGTGTTATGCGCAAGTCTCACTCCCGCTTTTGTAGTTACTATTAGTCCAGAAATAAGTATAATAATAATAATAAGCTAAAGAATATTATAGGAATACTACGGCAGGCAAAATATCTCCCCAAATCGACAAAATTTTTTACTGGGGAGGAATCCTCCCCACCTGGGAAACGATCGATTAAACGAGGTTTCGATAGTAATAATAAAGAACTAAAGAATATTAGTAATACTACAGAAGATACAAAACCAAACCACAAGCCAAACTTTTAACCCCCCCCCCCTCCTCGCACGGAAAACGACTTAACAGAGCCTTGATTCTAATGGAAGCATTAAAAAAAGCAGATAAACTCCTTTTAGACAATATAGAAGCAACAACAGCATCTGGTTCAGATCCCATGACGTCACCTGATACCATGGCACCAACTGATAGCATGACGTCACCTGATACCATCGCACCACCTGATAGCATGACGTCATCTGTGGAATCTTCTACGTCATCACCACCACAATCTAACCAGACCACCCCGTCAATTACTACGGCTCCTACCGCCTCAAGTGCTTCTGAAGGCGGGACCGCAGGAGGGGTTTCCCCTTGTTCAGGTGGGGGAACAATTTGATTTGTACTTTAAGCGAAATGTTAGTTCTACAGCGTGTTTGTCGAGCCGGTTTGTATTTCTGAGTTTACTTTTCAAATAAAGAAAAACAGGGTGTCCACGAAGCTCCTTCACAATTTCAACTTTGTTGAAGTCAGTTCTCAATATATCTTAACCAGATTTGTTGTTTTTTAATCAGTAATTGTTTAAGCATTCTTACTTAATTTAATAAATATATGAGGACTAAAACAATATATGGTATCGATAAATTCCCTTGGCAATTTTAAAATGATTTAGGACTATATGGACACCCTATAAATCGATCCGGGGGTTCGGAACCCCGGACTTCGAAATTACACCCGACTTCAAACCAGTCATTTTAAAAACGACTCAAGCATCCAACTCCGGATTGAATGATATTTTGACTCCGGTATATTTTGATTCCAGCTCCGGATAAAATAATATATTGACCTCGGCTCCCACTCTGGATTAGAGAATATTTTGGCTCCCAGCTCCGAGAAACCCGAAGTTAATCCACAAAACATTTAGTCGGTCAATCTTTCCTTAACGGTCAGTTCCAGTGGTTCTAAAACTTATTGGACACGTAGTGGACATAACGATCGTTTCAAAATTTTGTTGTTATTGTTATTATTTGTATCCGTCAACACGTTTTGAAAAAATTGCTTTTCTCTTCGAATACTGGACCAATTGCTCTGAAATTTTCAGTGGTTAAAGATAAAAAAAAATTTTTCGCTATGACGTCATCAAAATTATGTGACTCCATGTGTCCATATATTTGAGCATAACTCTCTTGTTATAGAATTGCGACGCCCTTCCGTAAAACATGCTCGAGTTGCGACTACCCGTGAAACTCTTTGGCAATGACAAAACGTAACGAAAGTCGTTGAAATCGCATTTAATTTAGGGAATGAATGTATTTCCTTCTTTTATATAAATTTCATTAAATCTTGTGGTGAATTGTGAAAGATCCGGGACGCATTTTTCTTTCCACATTTTACACTAGATCGATATTTCGTCTTAATTGCGGCTATAGTAAAAAAAAGCCTGATTCACCTAAATACGAAGTCGCAAAGAGGATGAGAGTGCGAAACGCTTTTTTAACCAATGAAGGATAATCTTCATCTAAGCTCTAAGGAAATCTGAAAACTACTTGCGAATCTTCTTTTTAGAATTTCTTGTTCAGTATAATTATTTTGCTTGTACACTTTTGCAGTGCAATTTAATATTTAGCATTTTTCGACACACCTCAAAACAGGTACAATTCCGAAAATTTCGCGACGCCCTAGCAAAATGGAAACGACGCACTTGTGCGTCGCGACGTGGTTCATGTCAGCGCCACATCTAAAACAATTTTTCGTTCATTCACTCTCATGAAGCCGACAGATTAAGTCCACTTACGGGAATTCTTCCTCCGGGATTAGTATAAAAATACCCCTTATCCCTTGTTTTCATAAAATAAGACAATATTACATTATTAAACACATAAAAATTTATTGCTTGGCGTGGCATCGCATTCAACAATGGTAATACGTTGCCACCTCTGATTACCCTGGACTTCTCGCCGCCGTAGATTCACATGACCGCTGGTCGGTTACTGTTTCTGTACCATCAAGTCCATGCATCTCAAACGAATACCTGCTCAACTAATCCTGTACCCAACATGGGCTGGTAACTGGACGAGAGGCCATGGTTCGCCATATTATTATCGGCTTTCTTCTCCCTGAGATAAATATGTAAATCCTATTCATATAACAACCGTTCATGGACATAAATAAAAAGACTTCTACTTTTTTCATGAACTTCTTTTTATATCATTGTGTGAAAGGCCCAGGATCACCACCTAGCGGAGAATCATGCACAGAAGTTGGATGTGTGGTGCCGATGAAGGATCAGAACTCTACAACCGCATTTAAGGGATCCGGTCGCATATGCACAATTGCGTACACCTGCAATGCAAATGGAACCTGGACCAGTGTCGAATCTGATTGTAAGGTGAGACTATTAAAGCACGGATGCTGTTTGTTAAATCCAACCTATATTTTTCTTGTTACTCATTCGCTTTGAAAGAGGTAAGAAAAAGCAGTCATTGTTTTTTTTTCGATTCGCTACCCAACCAAGCCTCTCAAATGTCCTGCCATTGTTTCAGTCAATAAAACATGCGCTTCCAGCTGTTTGACCGAGTTAATGAAACTTTCAACTCAGGTTTGTAAAACATTAGACGCCCCCGGACCCGCCTCTTGGTCCCGTAGTAAAAATTATTAAAAACAAAGACTTCGTCTGTGGCAAACTTGTTCAGTTTCGGTCAGAAATTTCGACTTTTTTTCAGAAAATGAGCTCAGCTCTGGCCCTATGATAGCTATTGAATTCCAACAATCGCCCGTGAATTAGCTCAGAGCTGAGTCCTTTACTTCTGAGCTTTGGCATTCCAGTTGTCGCTCTCATTTCTTTTGATCTATAATTTCCGAGCGAATATAAATTCTTTTGTTACGTCATTGCTGACTTATTACTGATTGGGCGTTGTTACGGAAGTAAAAAAGTAAATCGATGCTCGGGAAAACATCCATTGTGAGTCGCAAGATAATTTTGGGAACATCGCCTCAAATATTAGTAGGAATTAGGAAAGGGCATGTCAACACTCATTAACACTATTTCTTCACTCAGTGCTCTGTTCCTGGGACTTGGGGACCAAACTGCACCCGGGCATGCAGCAACGGCTGCAGCGAGACCAACTGGACAAGGAATTGTGATCAGGAGACGGGAAAATGCCTCATGACGAATGGGGAGTCGCAAACCGACTGTGAAGACGGTTACGAAGGAGAAAACTGCGAAATACGTAATTTTATAATTTATTGAATATATGAAGTGTAAATATGTGTCGTTTCGTTATTATGTTGTTGTTGTTCTTGTAAGTATTTCATTTCCTTTTCTTGTTGTGAAAAAAATCGCCTTTCTCATTACCTACTGTGACAATTGCTTTGAATTTTTTGTGATTGAAGATTGTATGTCAACAACGAGTCATTTAAAAAGCGACTCCGGCATCTAATCCCGGATTGGAGGATTTCTTGATTCTTGTTCCAAATAACTGATTAGTAGAGGATATATTGACTCCGGCTACCAACTCCTGATTAGGGGACATTTTCACTCCGGTTAAATGTAAGGCCGCTGTTATGCTTGGCGGGATAAAAACCGTGTATCCATGAATAAAAATTATACAGCGAATTGAATTAATAAGAAATTTAGAAACAAATAAAGTAAAAGCAAATAACATAGAAACAATCTTCAACCACCGAAAATATCTAAGAAATTGATCCAATAGTTGAAGAGAAACGAGATTTTTCCCTCGAAGCAAAATACTAACAAGATGGAAATAAACAACAACATAATAACAAGAGAGCTATGCACAAATATATGTACACGTAGCGCCTCATATTGGCAAATTTTAATGACGTCATAGCACACACAAAAAAAACAAATCCAATAAAGCTCACCGGAATATTCAAAATAAATAAAAGTAATAGCCTTCTCGCGAAAAATATAATCTTTACTGACTGAAAATTTCAAAGCAAATGGTTTAGTAATCAATGAGAAAAGCTATTTTTTCATAACGATACCAAGAAGAATACCAATAAGAACAAGAAAAACAATAACGCAAAACCATCGTTATGTCCACTAACGTGTCGAATAACAAAACTGTTCCAGTTCCTGTCCAATAAGTCAGTTCGGTGACTGATATTTGATACCTTGTTTTCTGTTTCTAGCGGTTTGTGAAGACTGTAATGGTGGAGAATGTCTACGACCAGGGTTTTGTGGAAACTGCCCTTTGCATTATGAACATGGACCCACATGCCGAAGTAAGTCCTTTTCGGTAGAATTTTTTAGTTTTCTGAGGGCGTTTGTGTATGTGTGTGCAATACTTTGGAGAGAAGGGAAAAGTGCTTGTAGGTAAAATGGAGTTGTTACATCCTTGGATAAAATAGACATATAGGATACGTAGATAATAATTGTATGCAAATGCACATGCAAATGTGAAGGTTAGGTACGTGCGAGAGGATTGCTGGATTCTTGGCGGTCGCGGAATAAGTCAAGAATCCGTTTGGCATCCAAGCTTATACATCTGGTACAATTTGACTCCTATGATGACCAGCCTGACTAGAAGCTGATTCACTCCCAAAAAAATCTGCGTAGGTTCGAATTCAATGGGGGATGATTATGTTATGAATTTGTAGGCTCATCCCCGCCGCAGGGTGATCACGTAACTGCTAGTCGGTTACGGCTTCTTCCACTATCAAGTCTATGCGTTTGAAAACAAATAACTAACCAATCCCATACGCGACATGAATGGTGGCCGGACGAAAGGCCGTGGTATGCCATATGATTAAGCCGTCTTATCGGCTTTCACCTCCCCCGGGGTGAATATGTAAATCCTCTCCTGTCCCTGTTTGATTAGATGTGCCGCCTTACCAGCGTTCGTCTTTCTACATTAGGTGAAAACATGAATATCTTATCCTGCGTAGCTAACTTTATCTGTGAATGAAGGGGTCAAAAAGGTTCCAAAACAACGCCCATTTAATTCAAAATCAAGGCAGTTTACACATTTAAAAACTAGTTTAGTTTACGGTAATGAATAACTCGGCGCTTTAGAAGTATGTGTACCCATATGGAGGTAACTAATTTTGTTAGCCTATTTTACATCAAGTTGCGTAAAGGGACGGAGGCCTATGGGCAGGGGGTATATTCACGTGGCTAACACAGACATTCCCCGATCTCGTAATAGAACTAAAATAAGGAAAATCGGAATAAAAGTATGGCCTAACTCTAACCTGGTACTCATACTACGAGAGTACCCAAATAACTCTGCTATAAATTTTGCAGTTCACCCTGTCCTGGTGGTTCCGGATTGCTCAAACATGGTAGCCCTGATTCTAAGCAAGGTGCTCGGTGTGAATCCTAGTTCAAAACTATAATATTGGGCAGCTTTATTGGGCAATATGCACAAATTTTAAGGTAGTGACCGCTTGTACCAAACTATTTTATTGATAAAATGACTATAAAACGAATGTTTTTTTCAGACATCAGGCTGGATGGATTTACGAAAGGCTCCATCCCATCTCTGGTGATCCTAGCGGCTGTTGTCATCGTGCTCACCATCGTCTCTAGGTGGCACATCAGGAGAAAGATCAAAGAAGCCTAACCATGAAAAATTCGCTGGATTTTATCGTTGTCCTAGAAACATTTATTACGTCACTGTCTACGTTAATGTTTATTATTCCAAGTCATCGCTATTAAATATGTCGTCATTCCTGACGTCAGAAGAAAACGTTGCTTATCATTATTATTTGTTTTTCTAAGCACAGTTATCGTAACCTATTTGCTGCAGGAGCTTAAAACAAATCGTCAAAAAAGACATTGATAATGTTTTCGATACTATTATTCCACAACTGTTTTCTTTCCTTCTGTTTAGCTTAAGATAAGTAACGTCATGTTACTGGCCAACCTTTTTTGTTTATCTTATTTTGTTCTGTATGTTTAAGAACCGAATCTAAGGTAAACAAAATCAGAAACAGAATAGAAAATTAGTCGTGGAGCAATACTGGACTGATTCCGTTTTTTATTTGGTCGCCATTTATTTTATTATGTTATATTCTGAACTTTTTAACTTCAACTTTTGAAAGAAAAGTGACGTCACAAACTATGACGTCTTATTTTATGTGAAATTTTGAAAATATGCATGCAATTTTTTCTATTATTCATTATTCAGCAATATTTTCGCATAATCATTCTGTACCAGGGATGTGCAACAGACGGCCCGCGGGCCACAACACGGCCCGCCAACCATTTAGTGTGTTCCTTGTCAACGGTCAGATGTGTTCCCCATCAAGCATAAAATCCTAATTCGACAGTTTATGTTTAAAAAGGCACTCACATGGATGAGAACACATGTTTTTTGCTCTTGTTTCTGCGGTAAATCTTTCACCGTTTTGCCCGGTGTATTCATTATTGTAAGGCTAAGCGACTCTTCCCTTTCCTTTCCGGCTAACTTGTTTGTGTGACCCAGCTGGGTGTCTGAAGTTGGTTATATCATATGGCCCCTTCGACAAAAAACGTTGCACACCCCTGTTCTGGACGTGAGCAGTACTTAAGTTACGGGGACGCAAAATCTAAGTTTTTCTGACACTTTTTACCATTGCATTTGATTCTCACTGTGAGAGTCTATAGTTGTGGCTTGTAAATGGGTTCACTTTTTCAATAGCATAATTTCAAGGTATTGCCTCGTAAAAGTACTTAAGTAATTATAGCTCGGTATATCCGAGAACTTCTTGGGCCGTTTTTAGTTTGGTTACTGTCCTTCAAAGACGAATTGGCCATTGTGTAATCGAATTTATACTTATATTTACGACGCGCAACATGAACATCAAAACTGGCAGTTTGTCAGAACGAGTAATAAAATTTCAAACTATAATGCGAAGCGAATCGCTTCGAATCAAAAAGTTTGCGTGAGTAAGTAAGGCCTTGTTTTTGAGCGATTGAAAAATGTGATTCATTATTGTTTACGATGAAAATCTCGATTTATATTCACGTCGTTTTAGCCCTGTATTTGTTTTTACAATATTAACTCTCTGCACTATCATTGAATTAGATGATTTGGAAAGACGTTCCGATTTATTCATTACTGGGCAATGGAAGGTTTGAGGAGATTAGAATGGGATTTATACCGTCATATTTTGCAATTCTGCTGGATTCATAATTTATCACTAGCGAAATTCCCCTTTGACTTTTACTAGAAATAATCAAGAGTGCATTGTTGATATGTATGCCCATGAAGGTCGCATATCGATAAGACTCAGAGCACCGAGCAGTCCGAAAAGATAATTCAGACGTGACAGGATAAAGCGCTCCCTTTGAATAAAACAAAGCAACAGAACTTCAAACGAAATGTGGGGTCCTATTGGACTTCGAATAAATATAAATAGACTTCTTCCACCTTTTATTACTGATTACTTGATCGTTTTTCCAACAACTTTGCGATCCACAGGCCTGCTAAGACCCAATTAATAAACGGCACAGGATGGTGATTTATTAGTGCAGAAATTTAAACAAATATGGAAAAAGTAAGAAAATCACCTATTTATATCAGTATATTATTGGATATTGATTTTCGAATCCTACTTCTGCCTACCCCTTACACAATTCAAATATATCAAGTCCAATTCCGAAAACAAAAAAAAAATGGCTAACTAATTCCATACCCGATCCGGACTGGTAACCGGAGGAGAGGCCGTCGTTCGCCATATGATTAAGCCGTCTTATCGACTTTCCTTTCCCCGGGATGAAAATGTAAATCCTATCCTATATTTTAGTTGTATTCATCGCACAAATTTTGCTGACGCTATTCCATTTTAAGCGCTTAACAAACAAATTTTCACTTCAATGTATTATCTGATTATTTTCAAACTATCTCGTATGCCGTAGCCAAAATCGAGCATCAACGGCTTACCAAGCCTGGAGCAGGAATCAGCATTCAGTTAAATTCCGACACTCGACCGCGGTCTTTCCTCGATGTGGGTTTTGCACACGGCTCGCATTTGAGTGCCGCGCGCAAAATGTTTATTATGATGTAACAAAAGAATTCAGTCAGTTCTGTGACGCACAATCGATAAAAAACAGCGAGCGCAGTCGTTGGTATGGTTACGCTATTGCGCAAGAACAGTGATGTTTGTCCTCGTGCTTAGTTCGTTGGAGGAAATGGAACATGGCAGAGCGACCGCATTCTGATTTTCTATAGAGACTAGTATTGCACGGTATAGCTTATCAAATTCATACAACAGAGGTCAGTTTCACAATACTGTACCGGTAACATTTGTTCATTCGCTGATCTATGATAAAGCTGTCGATTTCTCGTCGCAAATAACCGGACCAAAGGCGTGGTTTAGTCGTTCCAAGCGGCTTTTCTCCTTGATAAAAATATGAACATTTCATTCTGTAATTATAGTTTATGAGCCTCTATATATACTGATGTACTGCCTGCCCCTAATTCTGTAATTCTTTAACTCAGTTTTCAATGAGGCTAATACTTTTGAATAATACTTAACGTGTGCAAATTTATGAAAATTAGCTTTAGTATATTCAAAATTAATCTCATCAAAAAAGTGACAAAATAGTGTCAAGAGTTTTATCTTATGAAAGAAATACCGATAGGCTATTTGTGTTGGATTTCAGGATTTTGTTGAACAAATTATTCATGTATTGTGAAAACCAGTTAGATTTGGTTTATCTTAACCACATCAGCTTCTTGTAAGCATGCGTGATATTTCAAGTAAAAAATTCAAGATACTGAGATAAGAATCAGAAGCTTAGAAATAACCTGAGGGTATGTTTTTATTTATCATAGCTTAAAGTCATACCGTATTAAACGGATTATACAAGCTTTATATAAAAGTGTAATTTAGGCATAGATTTAGTAGTAATTCGACAAAAATTTATACAAAATAGTTTGGACTTGATACTGTAATATGTAAAGTTAGTGTTTCATATTAATATTATAGAAGTAAATATGTCGTTACCTTTACCTTAAGTCTGTAACCATTCTAATCAGTCAGTCAAAAACAAAATGACACACGATGTTAGTAATAGTACACTGGATAATCCGTAATGTACCTAGATGCTTAATACAGCAATAGTCAATAGCGGAATTTCAGTGGCTATTTGTGTGGGGTTTTGTTGTGTAAATACTTTTTGAGATATGAATGTTGAATTTTGATTATTATTTTCCATTTTGATCATAAATTTCAAATTCTGTTTGGTATCTTTTAACCTGTTCTGAGCGACAGGGTGCATTAGCGCAATTTCAGACGCTGTGTGTAAACCATGAGGTCTGGAATGTTTGTTATGGTCTTGTTTGGAAGAATAGCTCATTTCCTACCCAGCAATATAAGAATGAACGTTATATGACATTTGGAAGTAATAAAATATCGCTTACATTTCACGAGTGTACTTCCCGCTGCGATAGAAAAACGTCGCACAGCAAGAAAATAATTCAATAAACCTTGGCGTTGCGCGCTAACCAATAACAAAAGCTAGTATGATGAGGTCTTATTTTGAAGGTCCTTTTATATGCTACATAACATAGGAGAGTGGACATCTCACAACGTCAGGAAGGTATAAAAATATCGAGTCGTTTGATCGCAGCTGCCTCACCGAAAAAAAGTTAGTTCACATAGGCGTTTTATCTCGCAAATTCTCCTTGTCTCACGATTATAAGCTTTTATGATTCATAATAAATGTTTTATTATGACTCACAAAAGCTTTCAACGCGATAAAGCACAAACAAACAACCGATCGATCTATCAAGCCTAGCCTGGCCTGATTCGATGTGGTGACTTCTCAAACGGAAAATTTTCAAAACGCTTCAACGACACGAGCTAACGAAAAGCGTTTAGTATCATATGAAAGAGAAAACCAATGTGCAGTCAACTGTATAGTCACATTTGCGCTTTTCAATAGCTATACACGTCCAACAGATGATAGAATGAGAGAGTGTAAATATTTTTGTTATTTTTTGACGTTACGAGAGACCTCTTGAAAGAGGTGTTTTAGTTTACGGTCCTCCAGTGACATCTAGCGTATAGTACTCTAAAAGACCTTTCCAATGGTATATAATTATTGTATATTGGGTAAATTTTGGGGGTCGTATGACATTAATAAAAATGTATTCAAAATTGGGCTCGATTGGGCGTCTGAATCAGGTTAATATATATGATTAAAAACGCATGTTAAATTAGCAATGATTGAAAATGCATATTAGCAATTTGTTATATAAGATGTTCAAAGGGTATCTTGAAGTTCTTTTTAGAAATTGTAAAGAGACTGTAAAACAAATTAATACCCGGATAAAAATCTTCTGATATTTCGTCGCGGTTGGCTGATAATAAATTGCCGAGGTTGATCGACCGCGGCTTCTGCATTAGACAGGAAATGTTGCATGATGTAATATCCTGTTTTGTGATATACATTGTGGCATCATGATTCATCACATAGTACTTAAGCCATATTAAAAGCTACGTTATCCAGTGATATGAAGAAACATTTTCATTATAGTTTGAAGCCTTTCTTTACCAGTATATTAAAAATATTATTCGACCATGACCAAGCGGAATATTTCTATATGAATAAGTAGTTGTGAATTCTGCTCGTACTTATTTTATTATCTGCTAAGCTAGGTTTAACGTAAAATATAATCAACTCAGAAAATATATGTTACTTATTATTAGTGTTTTAAAAGTACAACAGCCAGCGAGTTCAATGTTTGTTCGTGTATTTTTGTTTGTTAATTTCTGGCCCAAGCTATGCTTACCCATGTTTGTGCTTTTTTGTGTGTATGTTGGTGAGCGGACGTATAATATTTCTCCTGTTTAAAAATTCCCTTAAGGTTTTACTCACTCTCTAGAATTCTTGATTTTTAATTTGTTTGTACTTCCAAAGTTTTCGAGATAAGCCATCTATCAATTTAAGATTTATAGTTCATATTTAATATATAAAATTTAAAGCGTTAATTAAAAATGCAAAGTTGTTAATGTTTGATCAGCCTAAATGTTTTTTTTTCAGCGCCAGGTTTGGACTTTGATTTAGGATGACTTTGTGTGAAATACGAATCAGCAGTTAAGCTGTCGCAAAGTCAGTTGAGCTGTTCTTGGAAAGATTATGGGATTAGATAACTGGAATATTCTTTTCTGCCGTGAAATTGTGGATTATTGTCCAATGCACATTTGCTTTGAAATTTTCTGTGCAATTTCTCAAGGTTTTTCTCACACGTCGCTTCAAATTTTGGACCCTTGGTCAATATAGTTTTGATATGTTTGCGTACATAGCTATGTGTATCTTTCCTATTGTAGAGAAATTGTGCCTATTCAGGATATTATTGTATATGTGTTAGCTATTTATATGTCAATGTATAAAGTCCTATATATGTCCATATATAGGCTTTTTAATTCCAGATTTCAGAATGTAAAACAATATTTGACAGAGTTTGACTGACGAATCAGACTTGCGAATCTTACTATAATGGGAGGATATTGTATGTTTCCTATAACTCTTATATAAATTTTCTATCTACTTTCTTACGGTTTTTTTCATGCTCCTCTAGGAATCTTTGAACCTTCATGCATATAGTTTCGATGTGTTTTGCATTCATAGCTGCATGGGTGATTCATTGGTTATATTGTTCAACTTCTATTTAAGACTATTTCCTTCTATTGAAAATAAGTGAATATTCCCAGTGGCCACCATTTCACCTACAGTATAATAAATAGTGTAGGCAGTACCAAACTCTGGTTAGTAGCTTTGTGTGTGACGGTATGAAATTTTGGGTACTCCAGAAGTATATGAACTAAGATGGCGGACCCTGGTAAGTAGTATGTGTACCAGGTTAGGGTTAGGCAATAATTCCAACTACAAATATACGGGAGTCACTTGGCTAGTCCTGAAACTTCTAATAGAACTAAAATAATGCGAATTGGAGTAAACTTATGGCCTAACCCTAACCTTGTGCACATACTACGTTCCGGTGTCCCCCATCTTGATTCACATACTTCGGGAGTGCCAATAGCGTACCATTCCTATTGTAGAAAAATTGTGTCTATTCAGGATATTTATTG